GCTGCCATGAGAAGGGGGAATTGGCAGAAATCCCCCACTCACCCATACGTAGTTGCAGAAACCTCAAGGCCTCATTTGCAAGGGAGGTGGGAGTAGGATCTCTTGGTTCTTCCCATCCGGCTCAGTTCCCTATGCCGTAGCTCACGTCATTCTTTATTATTATTTCAGTATTAAACCCGTGGTTTTCTCCCCGGTGGGGACTCAGAGTGGCTTACAACACCATTCTCCCCTCCTTCATTTAATCGTCACATCCTGTGAGGAGGTTGAGTTGGGAGCATGTGACTAGTCCAGCAAGCTTCCATGGGAGAGTGGGGAATCTGAGCTTGCCCTCAGTAAGAGCTTTTCAGGAGGAGCAGGGCTCTGCAGGTCGATTCCACAAACTGTGATCCATTTGTGGTTCTTCAGATCCAATCCAATAACAACTGTAAAATGCTACTGCACTACTCAAATGCTTTTTCATTAGACCTGCTTCCTAATGAAATCCAGTATAGTGGTTAAGAGTGTCAGACTGGAAACTGGAAAACCCAGTTTTGGATCCTCACTTTGCCATGGAAGCTCACTGGGTGATTTTGGACCTCTCATACATGCTCTGTTTAACCGACTTCACCGGATTGTTGTGAGGATAAAATGGAGGAGAAGAGAATGATGGAAGCTGCTTTGGGTACCCATTGGGAGGGAAAGTGGGGTATAAATGAAGTAAGCAATGATCTGAATTTTTTTCCTCCACTGTTGATTGTTTTTACCTACAAATATATAGATGATGAGAACACCTTTAGAATCCTGTGTTCTTAAAATCATACCAAGGTATGGGGAGAAAGAGAATTCCCATTCTTGAGCATGTTAGGTGCTCAGAAATGTTACGCCAATCGCTTTATTTACAGCAGATGGCTGACTAAATTTAACGTGAGTCCTTGCCAAAGTTTACGGAGGTTCTGCCGGCCCTAGAGAGTACCAGCGATGGAGACGAGACTGGTGTTTTTCCAAAACAAATTGTCTTTTCACTGAGCAATACCGAAATCGCATACACACAAAATCAGTCTCACATTCACATACATTCAGGTTCCTTTAGAGTTACAGAAAGATATCAAGAGAGTTTCTCATTTACTTGGAGGTAGGTAGGTATCGGTTTATACTTGCCTGTTCCTGAAGTCTTGTCTGATGCAATGTAAGATAGGGGAAGAAAGTAATACCTAGGGGTATTAACTAAATCACACTTGCTAGAACCAGCCAGCAAAGTATGGATCTCTTTGGCTGTGCACACCAAGAGATCAGGTGAAGACAAAGGATTTTAGCAGGCTGGGCAGAAGGGGGAGTTAAAACAGGCAGGAGGGGGGGTAGTGGCTAGCAAAGACCTTAACGCATGGTCTTCGCATTTTATAGTGAAATCTTCGCGTGGGTAGCAACCTAGCCAAACTGAGATCCCACCTATCTAGTCCGTCCCATCCCTACTTCTTATTGGTGTGTATAGTGAGGGGCAGCACCTTTAAGGGTTGGGCTAATATTGAAATACTAGACTCTAACTCATGGAAAGCCATCTGGTCAGGTGCGAATTCTCCTTTTTAAGCTGTATTTCCTGCTAATTTATTTTATTTATTAATTTATTTATTATTCAAATTTATACCCCGCCCTCCCCCATAGGGCTCAGGGCGGCTTACAAGGCAAGATAATACTTGCAACATAAAACAACAATACAAAAATACCAATATATATACATTTTAAAAGCATATTATACAATTTAATGGTGAGATGTGCTTCTTCTTCCTATAAGGCTTAGTAGCTGTGTTTGTGTGTCTGCAAACTCATTGGCATGAAATGCAGTTCAGTACCTTCTATGTGAAAACCTCTCTCACAACAGGCGATTCAAACAGCTTAACCTTTGAGCCTACGAGCAAATGTGTGCGCACAATCTATGTAGTGTGTTAGCATATATATATATATAAATTAATAAACAGCAAATATCAGTCCATTTCTCAACAGAAATCTAATTAGAATTCATCACATTTGAGCATTTCATATTTCAACCCATTCCCATGAAGATTCAGCAGGGTTCCTAACTTTCTTCATACATCACCAACTTATGTTTTCCCAGCCCAGGGTTGAATCTGTAGTTTGATTTGGTCAAGAGACAAGCACGTTAGCCAGTGGTCTTCTCAGGTCAGGAGACTGTGTGTCCCTTTGTGTCATGATGCATTATCTCACCTTTCAGTACAGTAGTGAACTAATAACCATATTCCATATTTCCACACTTCTGTTCACCCCGCAGAATGTATAAAATGGATTTGTTCTGGAATTTTGTAAAAGGGAATCGAGGTGTAATTTTTATGTCTTGTTATTGCATTGTTTATTGTATACTATTTTTATTGCACTTTTCTTTAATGTTGTCATCTGCTTTGTACCTCAGCGAGAAAGGTAGACTGTAAATGTGTGTGTTTAAAAGACTACCTCATCCCAGTTCTGAACAATCCATATGATGGTTAACATTTACTATGACTTGTGGCATTGGAGTGAGTGAGTGTTCAAAAATATATTCCAAAATAGGGAAAGTAGTCATGATGTTCAGACAATGATGCACTTTCAAGCGTGGTGTATGGTGGTGGAAAGTGCTGTCAAGTCACAGCTGACTTATGGCAACCCTTAGGGTTTTCAAGGCAAGAGACATTTCAGAGGTGATTTGCCAAGTGGTTAAGACGCTGAATTGCAGGCTGTGGAAGGTCGGTAGTTCAGCAGTTCGAGACCCGGGTTGCCGCATGACGGGGGTGAGCTCCCGTCTCTAGTTCCAGCTCCTGCCAACCTAGCAGTTTGAAAGCAAGAAATTGCAAGTAGATAAATAGGTACCACTTCGGTGGGAAGGTAACAGCGTTCCATGCGCCTTGGTGTTTAGTTATGCCGGCCACATGACCACAGAAACGTCTTCGGACAGCGCTGGCTCTTCGGCTTTGAAACAGAGATGAGCACCACAACCCTAGAGTCGGACTCGACTGGCTTTCGAGCAAGGGGACCTTTACCTTTTACCTTTACCCCACTACCTAGGTCAGAGTGCCATGGCACATAAATTTCCTGTTCAGCATTGCTTCTTAGCAAATGAAGTAAATTGATATTTCATTGTTTTAATATTAAAAATAATAATAATAAATTGCCTGTCTTCATTAGGAAGCTCTATTAATTGTTCATTTCGAACTGTTGCCCAGGAAACAAGAGTGAGACTACAGTCTTTTTTCTGGTTTACACAGACTAGTACCATTTTTCAAACGAACTGTGGCTTAGTATCTTTAAAACAAAACTTCCTTGGGTAAACCATAAAAAATTAAATGCAAGAAATGCCTGGTTGTTGTAGGTTAGAAACAATAAATTCAGGGCAAGATTGTTTCTTGTGTTCTGGGGTAGCTTGTATAAATATCCTGACATAGGTATTCCAGTGTCCTATGTGGTTTATTAAAGCAAAAAGAAAAGGTAATGTATTGTTCCCTTTTTCCTGAGTGCTTTTTCTTTATAGCTTAATCCAAATTCTGCATTCACCTTTGGTTCACTCTCTCATGAAAGATGATCTTCTAAGGCCAGGTGTCTATTCCATTTAAGAATTGGATTTCCGTTTGTGTGCAAGGAAGAATTGCTTCAGAAGCCGTCCAGGTGCCCTGTTTTTTCTCTGGCACTCCTGCGTTGAAAACTGAAGTAAAATTCATGTCCTGTTCACATGGCCCTTTGAGTACTCAGACAAGGGAAGCCAGGCAATTGATGTCAAGAACGCCAGAGACTAAAATGGCTATTCAGCAGTCTGTTCATGAGCAAAAGCTAAATGTGTTTTTCTCTCTTGCTTCTAAGTGAACATCATGCTGGTACACAGAAATTTAAGTCCCACTTAATACTGAACAAATAGACCCAAATGGTTCTACAGTTGTGTTAAGCAACATAACCATCCTGTCAGTGGTTTGCTGGCCTATTTTCTGACAGGTGTTGTAAATCCATTACTTGTTTGCATATTCCAGTAATTGAACTCTAGTGTGCAAATCACTTAATCTTGTGGGTGGGAGACCGCCAAGGGACACCAGGGGTCGCTATGCAGTGGCAGGCAGTAGCAAACCACCTCTAAATGTCTCTTGTTTTGAAAACTCTGTGGGGTCTCCAAAAGTTGGATGTGACTGGACAGCACTTTCCACCACCACCACCACCACATGTAGAAGCAGCTTTGTCAAGCCATAGCTTTTACTACCTTGACCAGTTAGTATCATGTGTGCTCCAGAGTTTAACTAACTCCTTAATGAACTCTGTTTCTGCTCTATTTTTTCCTTCCTCCTCCATAACTGATTTTTTTAGTATTCAGAAAGGGTTTGGTCAGGATCCCGACTGGCAGCTGAATGGCTCTGTGGCTCCGTGCTTAGACTGATCTTCCTCCTCCATAACTGATTTTTGTAGTATTCAGAAAAGGTTTGGTCAGTATCCCAACTCTGGCAATGGCTCTGTGGCTCCGTGCTTAGACTGATGGCTCATGGAGGAGACATCCATCAAGTGTCGCAGCCGTTCTGCTTAAGTGGAAGCTCCATATTCAGTGGCAATAACCCTCTGAATGCCAATGATCTGCTTATAGGCTTTCCAGGGACCTCTGGTTTGCTGTAGTGTAAAACAGAATGCAGGCCTAGATGGACCACTGATCCACCCAAGCCCAGCTATTCTTCTGTTCAAGTAGTTGAATGGGTAGGATACCATGATAGAGAGTCAGTGAGCTGTAGTAGTCAAGGATGTTGAACTAGCCTCTGGGAGACCCGGTTTAAATCCCCACTCATGCTGTGAAGGCTTGCTGGGTGGCCTGAGTAGTCACAGTCTCTCAGCCTAGCCTGCCTTGCAGGACTGTTGTGAGGACAAAATGGAGGAGAGGAGGACGACGTAAGCCACTTTGGGTCCCCATGGCGGAGAAAAGCGGGGTACAAATAAATTAAATAAATGTTGGTTTTACTGCTTCCACTTGAAATGGCTAGAAATTAAAAGAAAAATCGGTATGATTTCAGAATCCGGATGCTGTCAAAGAAAACCCTCCATGTAATGCTCAGGAGCTGGAAGAATGTGACATGTTCCTTGAAGACAGCACAAGTTTGTGCAGATTCGATGGTAACACCCTGAAGGTCACCCATGTGGTAAGTTCGAAATAGTACTTAAGTGTCTTCGATCCCTTTAACAGTTTTTTTCTCCTGTGCTATTGTCTGTACCTTTGTCCTCCACCCCAAGCCAGTGAGAATCTATACGATTGAGCCAGTGGTGCAAACTGCAGTTTGGGGAGGCTGATTGAGGTCAAGGAATGGGCCCCCCCCCCCCCCGGACTGTGGCTTCTGTCCAGACCTCTGCAGCTCTTGGCTGTCCAAAAAAAATCCCCCCCCCCCTCCGAATGCAAGAGATCCATTCACGGGCCCTCAGAACATAATGTCTACTCAGGCTGTTTAGCAACTGGATTAATGCCTGCTTGGAGAGGGTCTGACTCCTCTGACCTGGCTCCCCCAGGCTAGGCCGATCTCTTCAGATCTTGTAAGCTAAGCAGGGTTGGGCCTGGTTAGTATTTGGATGGGTCACCAAGGAATTCCACAGTCATTACGCAGAAGCAGGTAACGGCCAATCACATCTGAACATCTCTTGCCTTGAAAACCCTACGTGGTCTCCATAAGTCAGCTGCAACTTGACGGCACTTTACAACAGAGAGGTGGAAGAGTCTGGAGCGTGGTTAGCCCTAGAATGTGAGAGAACAGTATACTGGGAGGTAGGTGCGGATGGGCATGATCCATGCCAAGAGTCTATCCCAGCAATACAGCAGCGAGCAATGTCGTATTAGATTTGCCAACTTACGTAAGACGGTCCACTTCCAGGAACTGGAGAGGTGGCAAAGCCATCTGCACAGCAGCCTCAGATGGGTGAGGGTAAGAAGTTTAGGTGAGGGTTTTTTAAGGACACGTTCAGGCATTTGTGAGTGTTGTGAAGTTGTTTTCAAGAATAATAAGGGGACACCGTCCTCTGCTTGTGCTTGAAAAAAGAAAGATACATTCCCGGCCAATGTTTTTGAAGTGAGACTGTGCCGGGAGCAGAGAGAATTAAAACAGCCAGCAGAGAAACAGACAAGTAGGTCGGAGTAGGCAACGGAGACATCTCTGCTTTTTAAATCCAATAGTGACCTTTGCTTTCAGCCAGGGTTTCACGTGCAGAAAATGGCAAACACCAATTCTGTGTGGGGAAAGGCGGTCCCTGACCATATAGGGCTTTAAAGGTTAAAACCAGCACCTTGAAACGAATCTAGTATGCTATCGGCAGCCAGTGCAGTACCTTCAGTGCAGGTTGGATGTGGTCCCACGTAGGGATACCCATCAACAGCCTGCTTGCTGCATTCTGCACTAGCTGCAACGAACATGAAGCAACGAACGTGAAATTAAGCAATTAATTAATTAAGCAAACTCCGGAGCACAACGGAAGACAGGAGGGCCTGGTGTGATGTGGTCCATGGGATCGCAAAGACTCGGACTCGACTGTGCGACTGAACAACAACAACAATTCTGTACAAGTGAGCCAGGTTATAAAACTATGTAGCCATCAGCAAGTTCAGAAATCTTCCTCAGCGATATAGTCAGTGCTGGTTTACAGTTGTACTTCTGCTATTATTATTCTCCTACTGTTTGAAAGTGACCCTAAGATTAGGTATCATTTTCGCTCCCCCCCCCCCCCACATTATGGAGAGGGTTTTTTCCCTTTCAGAGTTCTCAGTGCAGAAAGAAAAGCCATTTAGCCAATAGAAAACTGTTACCAGGATAGATCTCTAAATTGCAAGCTGTCAGTCACTTTAGATGACAGTTCTCAGCTGCTGCAAGTTAATCACTTCTGCCATCCTAAGCAACAATTCTGATAACAAGCTGGCAGGTGGGGGTGATGACTTCTATAGTCAAGAAAGCTAACACTTCGGCAGAAAAAAAACTCTCTTAAAGGAGACCTGGTTCTTGACACAGAGTTAGAAGGGATCCTAGAGATCACTTACTCCAACCTCCTTGCTCAGTGCAGGGATTAGTCAACTACAGCACCCCACTCTGCTTAAAGGAGTGCATGCCTTTAAAGAAATGTTTAGAATTGACTGGAAAAAAGTATTTCCAGGATAAATTCTTGTGGGTCTGTGCCTTTAAGAAAGAGGACAGAGCCCCCCCCCCAGCCCCACCATAGCTATGGGCCTGCTTTTAATCTGATTTGGGAAATAAGCCTGAAATCCAGTGGGTGCCTGTAAATAATTGTGCAGTGGCTCCTATTGAGACCATTTCAAGAAGCTACCAGGTTGTCTTTTTTTGGGGGGGGGGCAGAATGCAAATCACCATGCATAAACCATGTATGGATTCTCCATGAAGATCTGGCCATTTTCCCTGCTCCATCTGCTAGGGCACATGGAGACTGGTCCAGAGTAGTTATTTTATTATTTATTTATTTATTATTTTCGATTTGTATCCCGCCTTGCCAGAGAACCGGCTCAAGGTGGCAAACAAACATCAAAAGCAATAAAACAGTAAATACAGTAAAATACAATAAAATATACATAAACAACTACCTAAAATCATAAAATTCTAACAAGAGCATGATGGCGGCTTCAATATACAATCCCATAGAGGGAGGCAGTATCCACCGGTGTTTCATACAGGCCATAGCGTGTTCCGGTGGCCCATTAATGTGATGGCTTCCTTGATGGCATCTAAGCCATGTGTAATCATTATCGTAATATCGGGTTCCTGTTTTATAAGACTACATCTGAATCTGGTGGTCTTCTCCTGGAGTAAAGCAATTTTTTAGCCGTAAGCTTTCGCCCTGACCTGGATAGCCCAGGCTAGCCCGATCTCGTCAGATCACGGAAGCTACACAGGGTCGGCCCTGGCTAGTATTTGGATGGGAGACTTCCAAAGAATACTAGGGTTGGAGCCAGGCACTGTCAAACCACCTCTGAACGTCTCTTGCCTTGAAAACCATACAGGGTCGCCATAAGTCGGCTGTGAGTTGACAGCCCTTTTCACCACCGCCGCCGAGATTCATTTCAGTCGGTCATTCAAGAACTACTGGTTGTGCCTTTTTTTTTTACTGTTGCTGAATGTACAGTCATATACATAAATAAATATGGTGGTCCTAAATCAAATTTGGGAGATCTTAGTCTAATTTAGGCACGAAGACTCCATGCTCACTGGTTGGCTACTGTGAGATACAGGGGAGGGACAGTAGCCAACCAGTGGAAGAGCCTCTCCTTTACATGCAGAAGGTCCCAGGGTTCAGTACCCAGCCCCATGTGTAAATGGTTTGAGCCAGCAGGGCTCTTCTTATGTTTTATTCCTCAGTGCCGCATCACTGGGAACATTTTGTTTCAGTTTCTGTATTCAATTGGATTACATAGTCGGAGAAAGTATGCACAGGTCGAAGATGCTGAAGACTCATTAAATAAAGTGTATCCAATTTTTGTTGCCATTCTTGCTTGAAATGACTAATTGGCAAACACCAGCAATTACAATGAAGTAATACCTTTTCCAGTTAATGAATATAGCAATCTAATTTATTTGTAAACAATAAGCTCTCTGTGTGCATCAAAGCTCCCACATACCTTTGAACCTGGATAAAGAACATGGCCCAACGTCAGTGGAAACTGCAGTGAAGACTAGATATGTTTTGATATGTATTGACTGATGGGTCTCGGAGCCAGTGAGGGAAATCTTTATTTTATGGACTGTGGGTCTTCTGAGGCTGCTTCTATGTGCTTTGGCCAATGAAGCTTTGCCTTTTCTATTAAAGCTTTATCTGCCTGCTGCCGGACCCAAGACGTGATCACGGTTATCCAAGCATTACGTCTTGGGTTTATCTGAGTCGCACCTGGGGAAGGCTTTCATGTCTTGATTGAAAGAGACTCATTTTTGGTCCGGGCAAGCACTGCACCTTTATACATTTGCGCCATGATGCTTCTAGAAATATATTGAAATCTCTTCATGCAATGTTAACACTGGCAGCTTTCTGAATTAAAATAGCCTAGTGTCCAAATAATACACCCTTTAAAAAAAAAAAGACTGTATGGCAAACCCACGCTGCTCTTATAAATATCATCTTCTTTTCTTCTTATTAAGTAGTTGTGAGAATAACAACTCATCTTGTTTGCATCTAAGTCAAAAGGTTGCTGCCATTCATCATCCAGAATCATTATTTGGAAAGATAATTACCAGTGACAGCAACAGAAAGGCACTGGATAGATAACAGGCAGTTGATCAAAGGTGCACGCTCCTTTTTATGCATTGGGATGAGATAATTGGCAGTTAGACAAGCTCTATGCCAATGGTTTTTGTTCCTTAATACCTGTTTGTCACATTTTTTAGAAGACCGTCAATAGGGCCCTTTTAAAAAAAAACGCTAAAATGCCTGATGATTTCAGTTACCTTGGCTTCTTTAAAACCCGACAGGCAAGACACTGCTACAATTATTACAGTATTCAGCGTATTACTGATGTTTAACTTCAAAAGATCCCCAGGAATCAAAAGACCATATTTCTCCATTATCATTAACCCTAAGAATTGACTTATTGACTTATTTAGGGTTAGGCTTCTGCCTATTTATTATTTAACTTTGAATTATTTATTTATTCGTTTGATTTATATCCCGCCCTCCCAGAGGCTCAGGGCGGCTCACATGCGGCAAAGCCGAGTGCAAAATACAATACTGTATATAATAAATAAAACATTTAAAATCACAATAAAACCTTCCAATAATACGGTGCTATACCTATATTAATCATCCAAGATGGGGACAACCCCCCCCCCCAGGTTTGGTGGCCAGCTGTCTCAGTAGCGGGGTCCCCCACTACACTGTCTCAAATAGCATGGTCTCCCACTACACTGTCTCATACTTCTGACAGGGCCTGCTTGCCCCCGTTCTTATAGGGCAGCCGATGACTTGCCACCTCGGTGGTAGAATAGTGGCGGCAGCGGCTCCTACTCGAACGCCTGGCGGAAGAGCTCCGTCTTGCAGGCCCTGTGGAACTGCATAAGGTCCCGGATCTCCTCTGGGAGCTCATTCCACCACCGAAAATGCCCTGGCCCTAGTAGAGGCAAACTTAATCTCTTAAATTGGGGATCTTTTGATGCAACTCCAGCACACA